CATCTTATCTTAAAGCGCTTGACAGGATTTACATTAATGTGCAATATTTTGTGGGTGAACCAATTTAAGCAGATCAATGTGCCACAAAACAGCCATGAAGTAAACGAATGAGCAATTTTATGTGAGGGATTGTCGGCCCGGACACCAGCTGGGATCACTGATCACTTGTCATTGTGATTTTTAAAAAAAAAAAAAAATAATTTCTAAATTTACTTTTTTGACAAAAAAAACCCTCTAATATTAAAGCAGTGATAGTGAATAGTGCAGTGACCCTCTGACGGAGAGAGGTTCTAGCAAACTGCTGAGCGTGAGTACATGGTAAGTGAAATAAAGCACACTTGAACCTTCTCAAGGTACTTAGTTGGCTTACTTACCCTCCAGCCCTGAGTAAACCTTTGGTCAATGCTATCACGGTTACGAATAGCATTCCTGTGAATGGGTAGAGGAACAAAGAACAAAGGCTGTGACAATCTTGGCTGAGTTGTGAGTAACCGATTTGTTAGTCATTCTAAGAGATTGCACCAAGGCTTTTAGACAAGACTAGAAGCTCTGTCTCATTTCCCCTTGACCTGAAGAGCTTGTATTATAGTAGCAGATTTGTCTTTATAGTAGCAAGGCGGAAATTTGTTAATTACTGTAGTTTGTTTTCTGGTGCTTGAAATATTGCGTCCTCCGTGTGGGCTTCTCGTTTGGGTGAATTTGGCTTCACAGATTCGAGGTATTGAATTGCCCTCTTAATTGTTATTTGATAATACTGATTTATTTGTGGAGTCCTGTAGCTCAGTGGTTAGAGCACTCGCTTTGCAAGTGAGAGACCTGAGTTCAATCCCAGGCAGAGGGCGAAACCTCGGGCAAGTTTCCTTACTCCACACAGAGCCTAATAATAATCCCTCCAAAACCCAAACCAATAATAAATTGGACATTTTCAATCTACGACTGTTTGTGGGACATTGCTGTGCGCAATTGGCTGCCGCGTTCGCCCACAAATATATACAGTCAATTCACTTTACAGTACATTCTGTGAAGCGCTTTGAGACGTCTAGAAGACGTGAAAAGCGCTATATCAAATGCAAGGATTATTATTATTATACAAACAGTTGGGGACTTGGGTTTAAAGCCTCTCCCATCATTTGAAGCAATGACACCATTCACCCTTATTTCTAGGTCATTCTAGGCTGCAAAATGATTTTTTTTTNACCATGGGTTAATTGAATGCATTTCAGTCTGATGCAGGGCAGTTGCTGAAGTGGCTGCAGCAGCTTGCATCTTGGCCTTGATGTTATGCAGTGTCCCCTTATGATAGCTGGGCGAAAGGTTCATTAATTAAGTTCTTGTAGATGAAGGAAACAACACCTTGCATTTATTTAGCAGCCTGCATGCAGGGAAGCAGCATCTCGGCGCGCTGAAGAACTGTTAAACAAAGATGTTGGTGATTCTCTTGGGTACAGATGCTGCGAGCTCCCCAAAGCGGGGAACGCGACTGCGATGGCGGATTGCGGAGCCTGTAAAGTGCTCTGTAGTTTGGAGGCAAATGACTCCTGCTCAACCGAAAGAGTGTAACCGGTTTAGTTCTGACTTAGCAGTCAGGAATGAGACACAGTATTCATTGCAGGCTTGGCTTTGAAAGATGCTAACGACTATATTCAGCGGCTGGCTGTACACAATAGCTCAATAGCTGGTGGGGGTGGCAGTGGTGTGGGGGGGTGCGGTGGGAGCAGCGTTGAGAGAATGGCCAAAACTGATTGGAAGCAATGACCGAAATCCTGTCGGCATTTCTATGCCATTTAACTTGTGCGTTGTGGTTGCTCGAAGTCTACCATGCATTAACTGTATTAAAAGCACCTGTTGTTCAAAGTGTTCTGCCAGCACCAAGTGTTTAACATTGGTTCCAAGTTTTATTTTCTTCGTACTTTCAAATCAAATACTTTCGGGGCATTTAAAAAAAATGACATGTGTCAAATTTTATCTCTAATTTTTCTCATCATTGGCATTAACCTCTGCCTCTTGCCCCCGGCCTCCTCTAGCGGTTCCATGGACACTGTTTCCCCTCCTATACCCTATCCAAGTGGCCATTGTTCATGTATGAGACTGAACAAAGAAAGGGACTAGGATCAGGAACCGTAGATAGTTTTCTCCTCCCTAACCCTGGTTCGGTATGGGACAATTTATCCTTTCAGCTAAAACCAAGAAACTCAGCGAGGACCGGGATTTGAACTGTTAAACTCCTGGGTCAAAATCAGCGGCTCTGTCCACAACAGCATCGGGACTCGAATTAGGGGACTCAGCTTACGAAGTAGACTCATGTAACTCCTGCAAGTATGGAAGAATGCTAGGCTGTGAGGGGATTAATGTAGTGCGATTACAGTTTTAGAGGTGATGAGTGGAGCCTGAAGATGGTGCCAAGCCAGGATACAGTCTTGTGCATTGTATACAGCCCAAACCCTGGTTTGTTGGGAGAAATGTACACAAGTATAGAATTGGTTGTGGAAGCTTTCCAAACTAGTACAAATGGGGCTTTTATTAAATAATCCAAACCTAACACTCCCAGCACTGTCTTGGCTCACAATCCTCCTGTTAATTTAATTTGTCCTTCCAATTCAGGCAGCCCTTTTTACTTATTGAAAGGCACATAAAAGATTCAGAGGTTTCTCTGTCCCACCCTCTCCCTTAAGTTAACAGCACTGTTTGATTAGGCATTTAGTTAGAATATTTATTTCATTTCAAGTTTCCACCACTTACACTGAGTAATGTTAACATATTGTTCAGGGAGCGAAAAAGATCGCTGACGACCTTTGAGATTTCAGTATTTAATGCAGTTGGAACTTTTTCTTCTTCCTCCTTCCCCCGCCCCCCAACCCCCCAACCTTTAAGTGAGTATCAGCCAGGCTTAAGTTTATAATAATCCTGCTTCTGATTCAGGAGCTTGTGGTTTCAAGCCCGACATCAAGACTTTGAGCTCGCAGTCTAAGATGACTCCAGTACACTAATGAGGGAGCACATGTTGGATGAGACATTAAATCAAGGTGTTAAAGATCCCATAGCGCTATTCGAAAATAGAAGGGAGTTTCCCTGACATGGCCAGAAAGCCCCCAGATCTTTTTTGGACAAGTTAGTCATCCACTTCCTGGCTGTTTGTGGGACATTGCTGTGCACAATTTGGCTGCTACATTTGCCTTCACTCCACTTTACAAAAATCCCCATGAAACACTTTGAATCATTCTCACGTAGGGCTTATTATTATGAAGGTGAAAGAATCCAGGTTGCCACTGGTGATGTAAAGTGTAGTGACTCTGTACTTTGTGGGTCAACATTCCCTTCATAATTTTTTTTTAATAGACTTAGATCTCTTTTGTGCTTTCAACTTGGTTTTCTTCGTTCCCACATGAAACGTTGAGACTCTATAATCTACTAACCGCCAGGTCTACATCATCCCCCATTTATTGGACTGATTTTGACCATCGGTGAAATCTCAGCATTTTCTCATTTTCAAGTGCATCCACAATCTTATGCAAAGGTGAGATTGGTTCAAAAAATGCTGATCCGCTGGATAAGAATGCCCGTCCTAACATCTTCCCATTACAGCGCTGAGCTGTTCCTTAAATGAGTCCTGGTGTCTTAGTGTCAACTGCCTGCTTGAAAACTCTGTACCATCCCTTCATTATTTATTGTGGGAAGGCCTGCTGCCTGGGGTCTGCTCTGACGTTGTCCTTCACAGACCCTGAACTCGTGCTCCGCTTAAGTCTGCAGGCTTTTGTCTCCCCTCTCAGACCGAAAACTCTGCAAATCTAAATAAAATATTTTGCACCACAAGTGGGAGTGAGTGTGTTGTGCGAGTGCGTTCTCAGTCGAGGAGCGTCTGATACCACTATTGATCTGATCAGTAGGAGCTTTTGGCTACAAGGACATATGGACATCCGGCGTGGGCAGGGTGACACAAATGAAGAGCAGGGGGGATATAATTAGACATAAACCATGAATTTTAACATAGGTCACATTCAACTTTGTTGTTAAATCAATATTGTATCCTCCTCCTCCATCCCGTCTCGGCTCACATCAGCCCAAAGCAAAACCGTAGCCAGTATTAATGTGATTCCCCACCTCTAAATAGGTTCAATAGAGAGAAACTATTTTTACGGACTGGCGAGGGGCATAAATAAAGGATCGCACTTCTGTGGAAGAAGGAAGGGACAGGGAGGGAGGTTAGAAGAATTTTGTTTTACACGGTGCTTAGTTAGGTTGTGGAATGTCGTACTTCCAAAGGGTTGCAGAGCTGACTCCATGGCAGCACGTTAAATGCTTGCTTACTTGAGGAAAAATATTGTTGTGGAAGAGTAGGGGTTTGGGAATGAGAGTAGAGAGCTCCAGTGAAGGAGCACTGACAAACTGGGATAGGTCGAACAGCCTCCTTCTGTGTTGTAAAACTTTCTATGACCTTGAACACATGAACGAGTGTGCATGCATGCACCCCGACCCACTTTATGTGTTTGTGGATATATATATATATACACAATATGTTAGTCAGTAAATATTGCATTTTGCACACAAATACATACAGCTTGCACGTAACCTGCTGGGTCCAGTCATTGACATGATTGTGCATTGAATCCTGAGCCGTTAGGTCCAGATGCTGAAAGGAACGTACTTACCCAGGGAGAAGCAGACAGACACCTGGGCCTGGGGTGGCTGTATAGAACCAGCACTTTACACAATTTACACTTCTATAGCAGCCTTCACTTCGGAAAGACGTTCTTGGGCTCTGGACCGTCAGGAGTTTTTTGTGGTTTAGAAGCAACTGAAATTTCACAATTGCTGGGGTGTTTTTGTTCTGCGATTATCAGATCAATAAGAGCGGTTGATCTGGTTCTGCTTCTGACAGGAAATGGGATGGGAATTATTCCCCTTTCCTTGGATGCTCGGTCACTCGCTCTTTTCAGTATTGAAGACACTCACTCGTGCTGTGTCTCTCACTGCAATGCCAATTACCTCATCATTTGTTGCAGATGGGGCAGAGGATTTGGCCTGGTTGAAATCATATTTGGAACGGATAGTGCTTTGAATCAACCAAACAGTATATATGGACTTATATTCTACACACTACAGCTGTTATTGGGTGAGTACTTTGCTTTTATTGGTTAGAATAATAATCCTTACATTTGATATACACCTTATCATGTCGTTGCGACATCTCAAAGCGCTTCACAGAGTATATTGTGAAGCGAATTGACTATTTTGTGGATGAAACTGATATGATTCTATTAGGAATTGGGGCAGGGGGTCAACAAAACCTCAGTGTTAACAAAGAGGCATTTTGTTAAGGTAATATCCCAAAAGGCAGATTGGCTTTTAGGGGAGGGGAATTTATTTGCATGTATTTTTATTCTAATGGAAGATTTTACTTCCAGTGATGGGAACGCTTTGCAAGTGCTGTGTGCCGGCCGCTATATTCGCTCTATTTTGGAGGGGATTATTGGTACAATGGTCTGGTCTGGTGTTGCAGAATCTGCCCATGGCAAATGTTCTGCTCATCTTTTTATTGCCCCAATGGTAAAATACACGACAGCGTTTGACTTCTCGATCAAAAACATGCATAATAATAACAAATTTATATGGCATCGCGGAGCACTTAGTGATGGCAGAGCCTGACACCGAGCTGGGGGAGGGAGGAGATGACCCTAAGCACGGTCGAACAGGAAGAATCATGATCTAAAAGAGGGGAAGGGTGGGGGCAAAGTGAAGGGATTGGGGGAGAGAGTTCCAAAGCTTCAGGGCGTACTAATAATAATAATCCTTATGTCTGGAGCAGGACCTTTCTCGCCGGGAGGACGTCTTGAAGCGCAATGTGGGAATTTACTGTAAAGTGCAGTGACCGTGTGTTTTGTAGGCGGAGAGTATACGTTTCAATGTGCGGTGGCTGTTGATCGGAGAGTGCTCTTTCTGTTTGTGACCAGTCGTTCTGTTCCTCTTTCCACAGGGATGACAGTGAGCGCAATGGCTGCTTTAATCCTAATGACATCGTCCATCGTGTCAGTGGTGGGCGCAATGTACCTCAGTTACATCCTGTACTTTGTGCTGAAGGACTTCTGTATAATCTGCATCGCCATGTACATCCTGAACATCATCCTTCTCATCATCAACTACAAACGACTGGTTTACTTGAACGAGGCCTGGAAACAGCAGCTCCAAACCAAACAGGAATAGCTGATGTACAACCCGCAACAAAACAAAAAGAAGGCCCACACACATACACACCCAGAGAACCTGCCTCCACGATGCCTGTTTGGCAGTAGTCTTGTTCTTTTTTGGACCAGAGGTATATGGTATAATGAAAAAAAATCATTGAGCACCAGTTTTTTTTTAAAACAGAGATGAATATTTGTTGTTGTGTGGTATCCTGGACTTTACTTTGGTTTTTACCCTGCCTGAAGGACTGAGGATTCGAGATTTACCCACCGAATGGAAGGCAAGCTTTAACTGTATGCACATTCCCCAATGGAAGGTCTGAGAGAAAGTTACGTACACTAAGCGGTATTTATTATTATTATTATTTTTGGAAAAAAGAAACTTGTGTCCTTTTTTTCCTCTCCTTTCCCAAGTTGCAATTCTTGTGTTTAAGGCGTGGCTGAAAGTGCCTTCTTCTAATTCCACAGTTGTTGACGTTGTTGTTGTTGTTGGTGTCGTCGTCGTTTTTTTTTTAAACAAAGAAAAAGAAAACTCTCGTGGTTTTTGCTTATGGAAATAATTTGCCTGGGCGTTTAGAGATCAGAAAGGGAAAGAACGCACATTTCTATGCTGTTGATGGCTTCAAGGTTTGGTATGAGTCAGTATTGCTCGTCTCAATGTGCCAGGGAAATGGTAATATTTCACCCTTTGACGCATAAAATTCTCCAATGTGAATGATTTTTTAATTCTATCTGTATGGGTGTATAAAAGAAGGTGCTCAGCAGTCAAGCTGCTCTGAATTACTAATGTTAGGTTTCTAGGCCTGCTCTTCGTTCCAAATGCATGTTGGACTTTGCCTTTTCAGTGCAGGCAATGTATGTATGTAGGATGCGAGACAGCCACTCGGCAAGTAGCACCATTTTGCACTGCACAAGGGGAAGCTTGCCTCAGTTGGTTGGCTAGAATTGTAAGACCAATCAATCAATCAATTAATTAATTAATTACAAAGTAGACTTAATACTCCCTGACCGCAAATGGGTCAGCCGGGTATCGTGACACACGTGGAAAAGCCCCAGCTCCGTGCTTTAAGAGTCTCCGAAACGACTTAAGAGAGTTCCACGTGTGACTGGAAATTTCCCTCGGTCTGGAACGGAGCACGCACATTCTCTCTCTCTCTCTCTCTCCACAGAAAGTATTAGGGGCGGGTTTTCTAGGCGAACCCGGGAGGTAAACTGCTAGGAGTTTAACCAGCTGATAAAACCATGTAACTTGCCCATGCAAGCACTGTCTGGCGAGCTTCCCACTCACTGTTCGTCCAGCTAGGACAACCCTACCTGTCAGGGCTTTGTCTTGCGATGGTCGGGGACCCACATTCTCAAGAGTAACCTGGATTAACTTGGACCACATTCCTTAATGGCCGCTGGGCAATGTGACATAACGGTAGAGACAAAGGCCCAATGCACTGAGAGCAGAGATTGCCACTGTCGGTCACACTTGATCATTTATATTGTGAATCAAGTGCAGCCGACGATTAATTAGCTTTGAGCTGCATCAGATTATGGTGGCTGTTCAGATTGATAAAAGGGTTTGTTTCAAGGGATCCCAGTATCATTCCACCCCCCCCCCCCCCCCAGACCCTCACCTTTGTGTGTTGCATTCAACTATTTATGAGAAGTATTCTGTTTCGATTGTGTTAAAGCTTTCTTTGAGTGAGGCTCTTGTGCACTTTCAATGTATGAATGGTAAAAATGCTGTTTAATGCCGCTGTGCCAATGCATTGGAGCAGGAGTAATCTGGACTGATGTGACAACTGCTTCCTTAACCGTGCCACCTTAATACTGCAACCGTTACGGACTAGTAGATTGTATTAAGTGGGTAGATGCCCCATTTTTTTTTCTTTTTGGTGTAATGAGAACCCCCCCCCCCCCCCACCCACATGTTGGATATGTTTGATGGCATTAAATAAACAAGAGGATTCGATTTGGCTTTTTATTTTTTTTTGGCATTTCAAGATGGGTTTTAAGATCAGTTTTTTTTTCTCTCTGCGTGAAATCCGAGGAGACCACAAACCCAAGGGCTGGGCTGACCGAGGCATCATCTGATCCGATATCTGCTCATCTGCTCGCTGCCTCTTTCTCACAAACGATTCTCTGTTCAGCCAGAAAACTGGATGGAAAGAGGTTTATTTGTACACGGTTTCAAACTTCTCTTCCAGTGTCCCTCTGACTGCTCGCGTACTTCGCTGGTTAGAGACGTTAAGAGTTGCTCACTCCGCAGTCACGGACAATCCAGACCTTCTGGAGAAAGGAAATCTTTTCCTCTCCCCACTTTCCCCCACCAACTTCCTGGTTGACGCACCTCGGTGCGTTTTTGCTGGAAGCGAAGGAAAGCGATTCTGCTTGAAGCCTACACTGCGGATGACACCGCTGATGAAATTGTATGGGCGTTGGAGCAAAAAAAAAAGACGGAGTATTTAGTCCAAATTTAATGTAAATAGGATTTTAGTGAAGAGAAATTTAAAAAGAAAAGCCATCTGAACCATCGAGTGTTGTAAGGTTTTCTTTTGAAGGGACTTTTGGCCTTAACAGCCTTTTGTGAATTTCCCCGAGTAGCTTATGATTTCCTGAGAAGGAGGTTACTTTTATTTAGTTGGAAGCAGCCTGTTTGACTGTTTGCAAAAGTGCTTTGAGGAGGGGAGTGTGTGTTATTGTCAATCAACCTTGTTATTGGTTTCAATAACGCTTCCCTCTCAATGTTTGTATTATTGTACATAAATTCTGCAGTATAATGTATAGCGTGGACTTTAGAATACCTCCAATAGCGTTTACATGCACAGGATCCATCCACCCGACACCGATTTAAAAGAAAGAAATGTTTTAGCCACCCGATTAGATGCCATGATGAGCTCTCGAAAGTATTTACTGCACCTCCCTTCCTGTGGAACGCGAGAAACTCATAAACGGAAGGTATGAAAGGATATGGAGACCCATAGTGTAGTGGTTAAAGCCCTCGCCTCGCAAGCAAGAGGACCTGGGTTCGATTCCCGGACGGGATAAAGCCTTAGGCAAGTTTCCTTGCTCCACATTTCTGTGTACCCAGCAGTAAGTCGGAACCTGATTGTTAGTCGATTGGCGGATCGCTTTGCGGGGGTAATAAACCCTTAAAAAAAGCGATTGACCACTAAATCCTCTACTGTTTGTGGGACACTGTTATGCGCAATTGGCTGCAGAGTTTCGCCCACAAAATAAACAGTCAATTCACTTTACAATATATTCGGTGAAGCGCTTTGAGACGTCTCAATGATGTGATGAGGCAAATGCAAGGATTATTATTATTATTATCTGGTGCTGGTAGACAGGGTGCCATTTGTCGGGCTTCACCCCGAAATGGCCTGGGTCAATCTAAGTGGAAGGGTGACGGGACCTTCAAGAGCAAAATCACTACATTCTGCGCATGTAAACGTGTGATTTATGCAAGCAGTATTTCTAGAAACACAGCTGCCTGGTATGCTTTCATCTTGTGTCCTTAACACACCGTCTCGTCTGTTTTAAAAACATTTCTACACTGTAAATGTAAATGTGTTAGCCTGACGCAGTGGTTGTGCTCTCTCGCCTCTCGAGTCAGAAGACGTGGGGTTCAAGCCCCACGTCAGGACTTGGAATCACACAGTCTAAGATGACACCCCAGTGCACTGCTGTGGGGTGTTGCATTGTCGGAGGTGCCATTCTTCGAATGATACATTAAATTGAGGTCCCGTCTGCCTGTTCAGGTGGGTGTTAAAGATCCCAACGGCACTATTTGAACAGAAGAGAGATTCTCTTTCCCTGTATCCTGGCCAACAATCACTCATAGACAACAACAATCTGCATATAAAATCGTTCACTCACTCCACGGTTGTTTGTGGGACACTGCTGTACGCAATTGGTTGCCGCATATCAGCCACAAAAATACAGTCAACCCACTTCACAGTGCATCCTGTGAAGCGCTTTGAGACATCTCAACGATTTGATAAAGTGCTAAGAACGTTGGCAAACTAAAGCTTAGACTACGTGATTCCAAGTCCTGACGTGGTGGTGGTGGTGGTGGTGGATGAGGGGGAGTGAGAATGCTACAGTTAAAGCTTGTCCCGAGGATTGAGTCCTGGACACAGTACTCTATACTTGCTAATTCCTGCCACTCCATTAATGTTACCGTCTCTTTCCCCAAATTCCAGATGGATAGACCACTGAATGTCTGTACTGTTATTAAAACATTCCTCCAACCTCTTCCCCCACCCCCCAAAAAAAAGATTACAGAGGGTTGATTTGATCTGATGCTACGGCACCAATACTTATTACCTTGGATGTAGATACCTCTTTGCGCTCATATCCTTCAACCCATTTGTGCAGTAATACTATATATAGCGTGTGACTATATTTCCACCGATGTTTTTAGAGCAAAGTGATTTTTAGTAACACATTTAATACAAATTGGTTTCAGCCCTTAGAGTTTTTTTATTTTAATTTCTTTTTTTTAATGTTTTTTTTTCCCGTGCGTGGAGGAGGGGTGAGGGGGGGGGGGGGGTTGGCTGGTGGTGGAAGGTTTAGTTAAAGTTCCTTTTCACTTTATGCCTCGTGTTTGGCTCCTTTTACAGGCCGGAGAGGAGGGAGTGGATTCTAGCTGGAAAACTCAACAGCTACCTTGTGTGTTTTAACCTTCCACGCCTCCCCACCTCATCCCCCCACCCTCCCCTTCTCTCTCTCTCTTTCCCTCCCCCCTTGTCCCGCAAGACGTCTTTTGTTGCTGTTGCACCGTCTCTAGCATGCAGCCAATATTTACCGCTCTCCATGTACTGTAATTAAAGATAACGAGAGGCATAGATTTCCAGTGCTGATCGGTGTATCACTACTTATCGCTCACGTGAAGTCAATCCACATGTTAGTGGAACCTCCTCTCCTCCTTTCCCCCCACCCACCCACTCCTCCGATTACAAAATAAAACGGTCAAACCAAACGTTTTTTGCGTCACAACAAAATCACTGTCGAGAGTTAATTCAATGTGGGAAATTGCAGGGTGACAAATGCTCTTTATTTTTGTAAACTGTATTTAGCATGGCAGAAGTGATGTGTCTTCTTGATCTGTGTAATATGTTTCCATCAAAGTTATTTATTAATGCTGCTTCAAGCTCATGAGCACGTGATAACGACTTTCTCAAAAAAAATGGACTTTTTTTTTAAAAAAAAGGCGGACTTTCTGGGTATTTTGTCCCCCTGTTGACAGCCACAGGTGAGAGAGAAAACGTTTTATACGCAAGGTTCAGGAATATGATTTTTTTTGCTGAAATGGCAAAGAAAAAACTGTAAATATGTACGAATGAGAGTATTCATTGCACAGAAATTTTTTTGGTATGAAATAAAATGTAGAATCTACACTGCGGCAGTATTCTGCGACTGTTTTCTAAACGGATTTCGGAGCGCCGGCTGCTGGCTGTGAGCTGATCGCTCGCTGTGTGCTGACGGCCTGGCAGACAGACAGACAGACACAGGTACGCACACATACGGCAGGTAATTCATTCTCATAAGCCGAGCTTTCATCAAAATCAGTCCTGCCCACTGCAAACTATGAGGCAAAGCACAGGTGGATTTCCATCGATCAATCCACCCGCCTCCCGCCACTCACACAGCCACACGCACAGTTACATACTCAAACTGAGACACACACAGTTACACACTCACACACACAGTTACGTACTCACACTGACACACCGTGGGGAGGAAAACACACATAACCAAGATAACAAACACACCACTGGCGTCGCTGAGCAGTGAAACCAATTTTATCAACCAACGAATTTCAAGTTGTTGCGCACAGTACAAGTTGCAAACTATGTACACGACTGTAAAGGTGCAGGGCATCTGAGATTACATTACATCGTTTGAACTGCTGCGTTTTTTTTAAGAAAACAATACCCCGACGCTCACATGTAGGTACAACAAGGCCAACTCGCATTTAGCACCAAGAGTCTTGGAGCACTGAACAATGACCGTGTCCGAGGCTGCGTAGTTCAGCTCTGAAAAGTAATACTGTTGTCAAATGAGGAAGCATTCACATTCACTGGAAAAACACCCACAAGTCGTAACTTTAGAAATCATACATGCACCAGAGTACCGTTCAGTTTCCCATCAAAAGGACTTTGATTTCTTTGTACGAGTCGTATTTCTGAAGAAAATTATCTCCCGACACGTAGCGCCTGTCCTCCATTACTCCCACCCTTACCGATTGCATCGAGTTACTCACGAGCGGTGTAGATTATTGATTAAGTCTGACTTTATACGATTGCGTGGTCCCGACTGATACGACTTTATGTGAGTTTTACCGTCATTAAACATGTTACAGGTGTAAACAGTAATCCCGTATAAAGCATCTCTGTAAACTAGATTATAAAATAAAACTCAGCTGGGCAGCTGCAATATCACATTAATAAAAAAGCTAAGCTTTCCTCCCACGCTGACCATTCTCTCTCTCTGTTGGTTCCGCACCCACTCAAACCCTCACTCACTATTAACGCGAGCATAATAGGGTGAGCAGGAGTACGTCGGGGGGGTGGGGGGTGCGGGTGGGTGGAGACAGGCACAGCACAGCAGTGAGGAACACTAGCGGAGTTTGTATTTATATTTTTTGGCCACTGCTGTGTGCAAATTGCCTGCTGCGTTTCGTCCACAGAATATACAGTCAACCCACTTCACAGTATATTCTGTGAAGCCCTTTGAGACGTCTCAACGACGTGATAAGCGCTATATCGAATGCCAGGATTATCATCATCATTCTTGTCCCTGTTCTCTGCCCTCTCCCACACCTCCCAAGCCTTGGCTCAGATCGGCTAATTTGGACGCATGAACCCGCTTCCTGCTCTGCGGCAGCTTTGCCCTGAAGCAGCCACCGACGTCCTAATGTAAAAAAACGCTGTAATGATGTCGGTGGCGCACCGGTAAAGATAAGCGAGCGAGTGTCTGGCAGCTAGAGGGCACCTTCATGCATCAGTCAGTCAGTGCCCGACACGTCCCTCAGAGATGTACCTGGTTTCGTTTGCCAGTTTCCAGTACCTCTCGCGCAAGAGGAAGGCGGCTGACTTGGGCTGCCTCTGGCGAGTGAATATCCCCTTCTTGTTTCCGACCACGCGGGTATTACCTGCAGCGGGAGAGAGGGAGGAGAAACCAATCCATCAGATACAAGCTTCGTAGCCTAGTGGTTGGTTAACGCACTCCCCTTTGCAAGCGGGTTCAATTCCCGGGCAGGACAAAACCTTAGGCACTACATCAAATCCAAGGATTATTATTATTATTATTATTACTTGACTGAAAGTCGAGGTCAGGACTCCCAGCAGCATCGTATTAAATATTCAACTGGCAATTGGCTTCAGAAAGCCTGTTAACTAACTGCAGGTGTAGTTTTTCTAACCTGGCAATTGAGATTATTTTTCAGCGTTAAGTTTTTTTTATAAAGCTGGTTAAACTCCAGCAGTTACCCCCAACCCACGACGTGCAGCGTGAAAAAGGTTGCTTACTTTCACTGGTCATGAAGTCGGCAAAATTCCAGATCAGTTCCCCGATCAGGTAGCTTTTCCTTTTCACGTCAAAGATGGTAAAGTACTCGTGCAGGACGGCTCGCTGGTACTCCTCTGTGAACATCAGCGGTGGGTCCTACAGGGGCGGGGGCGGAAGAGAGGGGGAAGGAGGCAGAGAGAGCGCTCGAGCAGTCAGGATGTATTCTGTTTGCCAGTCTTATGTCCCTGACACGCAGACCAACAAACCGCTCGCTCCTTCAAGGCTGTGTTCTGCGGACACATCGCTGTGCGCAAACCGGGCTGTTGGGTTCGCCTACAAAACAGTCACTACGCTTTACACTGTGTATCCCTTGAAGCGTCTGAGAAACGTCCTCCCGACGTATCACCAAATAACAATCGAATCGTAGAAAATAATATTAAATAGGAGGTTTGGCTCCTCGGAGATGCCCAGGCCAGGGTTGACTCCCCCTCACTCTTCGCCTCCCCCTCCCCCTGACTCCGCCACTGTCAAGCGCTCTGGCACATTACCCTGCGGGGGGCGGGGGATGGGGGAGGCGCTGTATAAATGTAAGTTGTTGCTGTTACTCACGCTGTGGAGGCCAGGGACAGTGCCTGCTCCGTATTCGCTCTGGATGATGGGTTTGTGGTACAGGTTGAACCAGTCCTCGAATTGGCTGATCAGCTGTAACTGGATGACTTCCAGGTGACCCGGGTCATGATACCAGGACAGGTAACTGTTCACACACAGCACATCCGTGTAGGGCGCCTGGTCATGCAAACCAGAGACATAGCATTACAGCGAAACACACACAGCACCCTTTCCGCATACATATATACACACACAACACACACACACAGAGCACCCATTCCACACCCAACCACCCACACCCACACACACACCCTGCCCTCCGCGCACACATGCAGGAACGTTTAGGGATTTTTTTTTGGGTGGGTGGGAGGAAGTAAAGAACAGTGGACAGGGCAGGGGAGCGAGACTGAACAGAGAGCTCTTCCCCACCTCACCTCACTCTGTGAGCTCTCATGCGATCGCTGCCCAACGCCCCCCAACCTCCCCCCACCCCCCCCACCCACCTACTCTCCAGAACGCCCCATTGATCGCAGGAATGTTTGTCAGATGGTCATTAATAAACCTCGCCTCACGCCTGCGGCTGCTCACCCCTTTGTCGTGCCTGAAGTCCGTGTTGGAGACGAAGGTGACGGGTCTGGTGGGATCCAGGGCTTTAGTGTGGGATATGACGGTCCTGTGTATACAGAGCAAAACAGAGTCAACCCCAGGCTGTGACCCCCCCCCACAACAAACAACACATCACACGGGAGGACGTCCCAAGGCCCTGGACAGTCAGGGATTTTGCACCCGTGCTGCGGGTTGGGATGAGGAGAGGGTGGGGAGGGGTGGGGTAGGAGGGTGACCAAAGGCGCAGTCGAAGAGGAGGGTCTTGAGATGGGTCTTGGAGGGGGTGAGGGGTGGGGGAGGGGGGGAAGAGGAGTGAGAGAGAGAAAGAGAGAGAGAGAACGGTTTGAGAATTCAATGTAAATTGAAAGAGAACATTAAACGAGGGAACGAATTGCTTTGAACCGTTCGATCGGTTGTCGTTCCTCTCTTCGTCTCGCTCACGCGCTCTCGTAAGAGAAGGTCAGGACTTACGAGAGCAAAGCCCGAGAAGCTCTTTTATTTTAGATTTTAAAACAAAAACGAATCGGAACCGGCGCCAAAGCCACTCGGCCTCACTTGAAATAATGATCGGCTTCCGGAAGGCTGGAGGCGGGTTCGTTCGCCACGGACCACATGACCACAGACGGATGGTTCTTGTCCCTCCGCACCATCTCCTCCATCACCTGCAGGTGCCTGGTCAGCGATTTGTCCCCAAAGCTCAGCCTGAAAGGCGAACGGAAAAGGGCCTCAGAGTTAAACGTTAGGGAGCGCTCGCCTCGCAAACCCGGGTTCGATTCCCCGGCCGGGCCGGGCGAAACCTTAAGCAAGTTTCCTTACTCCACACACACGCACACACACACACACGTGCACACACGCCTCTATTAGCCCAGCAGTCAGTAGGAACCCGGTTGTTAAGTCAATTGGCCGATCGCTTCTCGGGGGTAATAATCCCTCAAAGAAAACAAATGTGGTCACTCGATCTGCGGCTTTTGTGGTTCACTGCCGTGCGCGACGGGCTGCTGCGTTTCGCCCGCAAAATACACAGTCAAAAAACACTCCCCAATATACCCTGCGAAGCGCTTTGAGACGTCTCAACAGCGTGATAAGGTGCTGTATCAAACGCAAGGATTATCATCATTATTATTAAATTATTATATAATTATGCATTACATTATATACTGCAATTATAATTATATTATTTTATTAGTAAGTAATATATTATTATGAATTTATTGTGATCATTGTTGTTTTTATCACATCATTATTATATTATTATTATTATTAACTAGCTGTTATCACTGTTATTATTATAATAGAGCCCCGCGGTGTCGGAAGGACAGGGTAAAGGTAAAGGCTGTGCTCACGGGTTTTTGATGCCGACGGCTGGGCACTCGTCAATGACCACGATGCCGTACCGATCGCACATGTCCATGATCTCCTCTGCGTAGGGGTAATGGCTGGTGCGGAACGAGTTTGCCCCCAACCACCGCAGCAGGTTAAAATCCTTCATAATCAGCGGCCAGTCCAGGCCCTTCCCACGGACCTGCGGACGAAAGGTCAGCGTGTCACCCTGGGCTAGTAACCCTACCCCACCCCCCCGGGCCTGCCCCGAACAATCCCCCCCCCCTCGGCCAACCCCCACTTCTCCCCCGCCCCGGATAACACTCCCCCCTCCACCCACTGGCAACAGGTTAATTAATAATAAATGTTTTTCCACTAATAACTGTTGAATTGTTATTTATCATTATTCATATTGTGTCATTATAATGACTGTCATTCCTGTTAATATTGATTATATATTATTTATATATTAATATTATATATTATTGATTATCTATCGTCACCATTACTTGTTATTATTCATGATCAGTGATTATTACTCATTATTAATTGGTGCTGATCCGGATTCGCTATCAGTATTTTCTGCGGCTGAGCATTCTCATTAACTGCTATCACGATTGATGAATTATTACTGATTGTTATTGATTTATTATTATTATTATTAATTATCGATATGACTCACGTCCGAGTCCTCGTGTTTGTTGACTCCGTGGAAGTAGAAGGCTTTCCCGTTGATGAGAAATTGGGTCTGGGTGACTCTCACCGTGCGGATTCCGATCGGCAGAGTATAAACATCCACCTCCCTCTCCGTCCTCACCGACACCTGAGCATCCACCAGAGAAACAAGGGACAAAGCCAGGCTTGGTAAGAAATAATAATAATAATTATCCTTTCATTTGATACAGCGCCTTATCACATCTCCGAGACGTCTCAAAGCGCTTCACAGAATATACTGTAAAGTGAATTGACTGTGTATTTTGTGGGCGAAATGCGGCAGCCGATTCGGGCACAGCAGCGTCCCCGCAAACAGCGGTGGATTGAAGTGATCAAATTATTATTAATTGCAAATTAATTGCAAATTGCTGTTGTTATTGTGCTAAAGAAACGGCTGCAACTGGGGGAGGTGAGGCTGGAGGGAGGGAGGGAGGGAGGGAGGAAGCAAAGCTGCTGTTGTTGTTGCTGCTGTTTCAAGCCGAGTGTGGTTTGGCCGCAGGAGTCCTTACCTCGAGACTGTACAAGTATCCTGGCTGCTCGTGCATTAGGTACGGCCACCACAAGGTAGCGCCAGGCACTTTCAGCTGCCCCGAGGGCTGGTCCTTCACGGTGGCCACCACTTTGCCCGTGTGATCTCGCAAGGTCACCGACAGGGAGAACTCCGCAGCCCCTTTCACCGACGCTTTGTAGCCCACGATCCCTGCGGGAGGGGTGGGGGGTGGGTGGGGAGAGAGAGAACCGAACCTTGGGTTCTGCGCTACAATTCCCTGACTGTCCAGCACCTTGGGACGTCCTCTCGACATGAAAGGCGCTGCGTAAATGCCATTTAGTATCGTATCATACGAGGCAATAACGGGCAAATCATATCGGTTTCGAACCCGGGGCCTCTCTCTCGCTTGGTAACCGCTACTCTACGGTCGGGCTGAGCGAGCGGTGACTTACCCAAATCACTTACGATGTCCGTCACCACGATAATGTCATCCAGGTAAACCTCGGGGGTGGCGTACAGGAGGACGGGGCGATGGATCCCGGCGTAGTTAAAGAAGTCGAAGTACGTTTGCTGCACAAAATACCCGGGTGGGTACCTGAGGGCGAGAGGGTGGAGCGAACGGAGAGATTGACGGAAAATAATAACCCTTAAACTTTCACCCAGAGCCTGTTCACGTCAGGAGGTCATCATAAGCCCTTCGCAGGATTCACTGTAAAGTGTTGTGTATATGCTGTGTGTATCATATACAGTCACTCCACCTTACAGTGTACGCTGTGAAGCGCTTTGAGACGTTGCAACGATGTGATAAGGCGCTACGTCACACACACGGATCATTCTTATGCTGGTGAACACAGCTGCCAGTTTGCGCACAGACACGTCCCACAAACAGACGTGAAGCGAGGGAGCAATTTTATTTGGGGGGAGGGGATTGTTGGCCGGGAGACCGGGAGAGAGAGGGAGAGGGAGAGAGAGAGAAACCCCCTCTTCTCTCGTTCGAATGGTGGCCACACCAGATCTTTAACGTCCACCTGAACAGGGCAGACAGTAAAGTTGGTCGACGGGGTGAAAAGGCGGTGGGGATGGGGTAGTGGGGGGGGGGGAAAAAATCGGTTTGACGTCTCAGACATCCGAAGGTCGGGGGGGGCTTGAACCCACAAACATCAGACCCAGAGGTGAGAGCGCTACCCACTGCGTTCAAAAATGAACTGGAACGAGCTGTTTCACCTCGCGTTGTGTCACTTCACCCCCCCCAACCCACGCAAGCGCGCCCCCCACCCCCACCCCCACACACACACACAGAACCGCTCCCACCCTCCTCACCTCTTGGTGTCGTTCATGTACAGGATGTCCCCTGGGGGCAGTGTGTGCAGGGTCAACGTGTTATTGACGGCCACGGTGATCCGGCAGGGAACGCTCCCGTTGATCCGGATAACTTTGGTGACCTCGGCTTCGAACGGCAGGTGTCCCCCCTCGTGCGACATCACCTGGACCCCGTTCACCCACTGAAAGGAGACCGCGAACCCGCATCAGGGCTCCGCAAACATTCCGGCTCTTTGCGCCGCATCCCAGCGGAACGTTCCCGCTGCGGTGTAACAGCGACCCTCGCACTCGACGCACAGCGCCTGTGATACGTCAAAACATCTCCTAGCACGTGCGGAAATTGCCTCTCCCAGTGTAGTGACTGTGTGTTTTGCGGGCCGATCTTTAACCGCCATCTGGGGTGGGGGGAGCTCGGTTTAAGGTCTCATCCGAAGGACGGCGCCTCCGACAATGCAGGACTCTCTCTCTCTCTCTCCCCCCAACACCGCAAAGGAGCGTTGATCTGGACCGTGAGCTCAAGATCTCACTGTTACACAATCTCAACACAATCACCGATAAAGACAGCCCTCTGCACGACTCGCCTCTGGCACCAGAGGGAGCGCCAATGCTGTGGCTGCACCTTATCAGGAGATTTCATTGATTTAAACACATAGACCGAGCACTTAATGTGACGCCTCATCACGTCATCGAGACGTCTCAAAGGGCTTCTTCACAGGGTCTTACTGTGAAGTGCGGCAGCTGTGTAGTTTGTGGGCAGAACGCGGCAGCCAATTTGCGCAACAAACAGCCGAGAAGTGAGGGACTGATTTCATTTGGGGGATTGGCAGCCACTTAAGGCCAGGAGGGGGAGGCTAAACCCATAGGCACGCACATAACTTCTGTGGTGAACAGACAAATGGCAAGCCTTGTTCCTTAAACCGTCACAGTTGCGAGGCCTGCCTGGACTGTGAGCTCAAAGACCCCGATGTGGGTGGGTGGTTGGTGGAGGAGGATGTTGGTGGAGGGGGAGGGAGGGGGCTTGAACCCACGATCCTTCTGACGGAGTGAGCGTACACTATCGCAGAAACAACAACAACAAGATTGCATTTATAGAGACATAAATGCAGTAAAACTCACACAAGTCGTATCAGTCGGGGCTGTTACATAATGTGACTTACGCAAGGTCTGAGTTGCGGGCAAACTGTATATCCTGTATAAAACTACACTGAGTATGTGTAATTCAATGAAGCCAGTAAGTGCGGGAGTAATGGAGGGAAGGGAAGTGGGGTTACAAGATAGGAGGTGATTATTATGACTAGATCAGAGAAATCTAAGTGCTTTTATAAAGGAAACTGATTGGGACTCGGGTAAGTATACAGCTTAGACGATTAGACTATTCACAAAAGATAAGACTTCTGCGAGTTTGACAATATTCCCGAGCAAGAGAGAGAGAGAGAAAGCGCGAGAGCGAGAGAATAAAAAGACGACTTACGACAATAGTGTAATAGTGGGCGCTGCCCACCCTCAGCACCACCCGCTGGTTGGCACCGGGTTTTAGCCAGCGTCTGGGGAGCCAGGTCTCCTTCTCGTACCACGCCCAGCCCACAAAGTCCCGCAGCCACCGCTCCTGGGTCACGTCGTTATAGCTGGCCGGCACCGGCATGTCCATCACCGGCCCCGTCTGGTCAACAACAACAACAATTTCCATTGCGCCTTCTACACAGGGACGACTTAACGTAGAACCTTACAGCACAGGAGGATTTCGCCATTCGCCCCATCATAGCCACCCGCCAGTCCCCACTCACCCCCCTTACCCCAGCGCACTGCGTATCTTTCCAAGTTCCTATCCAATTCCCTCTCGAAAGCTGTTGTGGGAACATTCGCATTTTCAAGGGGGCGGTTGGTCAGCTCGGGGTATGGAGGGGTTTCAGGGCAAAGGCCGGGTAACTGGACTTGAGGTACAGATCAGCCACCGCCTTAGAAAATGGCAGAACTGGCTTGAGGGGCTGAATAGCCCCCCTCCTGTCTCCGTCTCTCTATCGAATCTGCTTCCACCACCACCACCACCTGCCAGCCTGCCTGCCAGCCAGCCTGCCAGCCTGCCTACCTGCCTGCCTGCCTGCCTGCCAGCCTGCCTGCCAGCCTGCCTGCCTGCCTGCCAGCCTGCCTGCCTGCCTTCCTGACCGGCCAGAACAACACACAAGAGTTAGCAGCGAAGGTCCAGTACCTCCCTCAGGGGCTGCAGGTACCATTTCTCCTGGAACCCGCGATCTCTGGCGTCAGAACGATCCGCCCGGAAGCGCCACAGGCCGCCCAGGTCCTTGAGCTCCCGGGACGGGGTGTCCCTGGGGGTGAGAGCCAGAGAGAGTGCCAGGAGAGCGGCTGAGAGCAGAGCAGAGGCCAACCCCATGGTCCACTGTGGGGAACAGAGAGAGAGGAACCAGACCGGTCACGTGACTCTCTCACACACTCACACCGTCACGTGACCGAATTCTATGAATGAAACGCTCGATACAAAGTTGCGCGAACGTTCCACCGCTTCCGGAAGTTTGTGAAAAAAAAGTTTTAGGGGCAAATTCCCCCCCAATACCGTTTTTTTTAATTTCTTTATTATTTATGGTTCTCTCTCTCTGTCGGCGATGTCGAGCTCATACAGTCCTACCGTTAATGTTCCTTATAAAAAGTTCCAACAAATATAAAGAAATTTATTTTTATATAAACGAATATAAAAATACACCCAAATATATGAGTAATAAATCATAATATAATGTAATAATATGTCTATATCTATATCCACACACACACACACACACGCACAGGTGTGTATTTTTACATTTGTATATAAAGTATAAAACATTGCTTTATTGATTGATTCCCTGTACACGTGTATGAAGTAATAGAATTATAATGTGATAAAAATATTTAACAATTGCATATTTGGAGATAAAATGTATATTTTAAAAATCTTCACTTGTTGATTCCCTGTAGCTAATATAATTGTCTAATAGTATGATACATGTAAAGGATATTTAAAAACAATTACATTTTTATATTTGTGTATCATTTTAAAAAAATGTTATTTCTTTTAAATTCTTAAATCCTTCCACTCTCCCACTCTCTCTCTCTCTCTCTGTGAAATGCTCTGTCCCTCTCGCTGGCCTCTATCGCAACATTTGCTCACATTATTTAAACAAATCAAAAAAGTTTTTAAAAAATGTTCTTTAATAAATTAACAACAGCTTTACCGATTTTTTTTCCGAAACACAAACGAGTCCAAAGTGATACACATTAAACATGGTCGAATGTTTAAGAGGGAAATATTTTAAAACATATAAACGGGGCAAAACAAAACACACCCACACACAGGCTTTAGTTTATTTTCTCAATCAACTTCCTTAATTTTCAGGAAATAATAACATGCAGTTGTGCTGCAACTCAACACTACGATTATTATTCCCTTTAAGTGTGAAAAAATGCAGATTTGAGCCACATTACAATGTCGAATAAAGTGCTAAATGTTAAGAGTACAGTGTCAGTTTTATAAAGTGCAGCAAGAAATATATATATATATACACATATATATAAATTGTATATTTTCCCAAAACATCAGAACTTAGAACAGCGCCTAGAAATGAAAAACAATCTGGACAGAGTCGTGATTCCATCTGCAGACAGAGAGCTCAGATAATAAAACCACGAGTTAAAAGCAAAGCCAGGACTTATTTCTATGTGTCCCCCTGTCCCTCCCTCCCTCCCTCCCAGTCCTGGGTGAGGTGAGGTGAGGTTTCCTCGCTGCCTCCAGCCCTTAGAAAACAACCCACTTCACTCTCTTACAGGGACCATTTCTGCTCAGAGACATTATGAAGTGGATCCGCTGCGAATTTTCGTCATAATACGCCACTCGGTGACGTTCGCTAAAGGTTTCTTACGCTCAGCTGCTTTGGCCAAATGAAGTCTGGATGATGCACACAAACTCCCACCTGCATTTCAGCCATGTCCCTCTGTCCTGTGCTGTCCTGTGGTCGATTCTCCTGATTTTAGCGAATGGAGAAACGAATATACGTAAGTTTGCTCACCCCCCAGTACACCCACTTCTCTCTGCCGAGACAGTAATAAATACGAGAGTGCTTTCCACAAGTCAGGCTGCTGCTCTGTCACCTCTGGTGTGGTGTGGTGTTGAGCATTAATGAAAAGAGATTTATCTTGTGGCTTATTATTTATTATTATTATTATTATTGTCAAACACACACTTAGAGCTTATGTCCGACTGGAACTAAACTGCAAGACACTTTAGGGCAATGGGTGATGTGATGCTCTCTCTCTCACTCTCTCACTCAATGTGACTTTCAGGGTAAAAGCCAAAAGTATGTTGGAAAGACATAAAAACGTACATCTCTCTCTTAACCCCTCTCCTCCCTCTCTTGTCCCCCCCCTTCCCTATAATCTCTCTTTCACCTCTCTCTGACAATTATATTAATAATCCTGGCATTTGATATAGCGCCTTATCACGTCGTTGGGACGTCTCAAAGCGCTTCACAGAATATATTGTAAAGTGCGGTGACCGTATACTTTGCGGGCGAAACACGGCAGGCAATCGCGCACAGCGATGTCCCACAAACAGTCGTGGACTGAGTGAGCAAATTATTATTATTTTTTGTGAAGGGATTATTATCCCCGGAAAGCGATCCACCAATCGACTAACAACCGGGTTCCTGCGTACCGCTCGGTAAACAGAGGGTGCGCGGGGTGAGGAAACTTGCCCAAGGTTTCGCCCTGCCTTGCCAGGAATCGAACCCTGGGTCCTCTCACTTGCGAGGCGAGTGCTCTAACCACAATGCCTCAAGACTCCACAGGAGGGGGGTGAGTGAGGTCGGACAATATAGGATGGAATCCGGTGGGGCGGGGGGGGGGGGGGTGGGGGGGTAGAGAGAGAGAGAGAGCGCTTGACGGACAGACACTAAAGGCAAATTCTCTTCCAGAGTGCGGGACGAGCGCTGTGGTGGTTCGGGCCAGCTATTCGCGGATCGTGGGGGGCAAAGACGCCATCACGGGTGCCTGGCCCTGGCAGGTCAGTCTCCAGCTGGGGAGGAGCCATCAGCATGTGTGCGGAGCCTCGATCATCAGCGACTGGTGGCTGATCTCAGCCGCTCACTGCTTCGGCACCTACAAGTACGTGCGCGTACCAATATTTACATACTATATTAGCAACAACAACATTACATGTGTATCGCGCCTTTCACGTTGGGAGGACGTCCCAATGCGCTGGTCAATGAGGGCTTTTGCACCTGAGCTGCAGGTTGGGATTAGAGAGCAGTGGAGGGCAATGGAGGGTTAGATGACCAAAGGCGCAGTCGAAAAGGTGGGTCTTGAGTCAGGCCTTGAAGGAGTCGAGGGAGTGGGAGAGACTATTAACTAACGTTCCGCTCCAGTGACAACAGCTTGTCAGCGCCACGGGGCAATGTCTTGGAGCGCTTAACAGTGACGGAGCCTGACACCACTTTGGTGGTGGGGGGGAGTGCTGTAGGTGGGGTCAAAGAGGAAGTTCTTCAGGTGCAATGTGAAGACGGGTGATGAGGGGAACAAGGCAGTGAGGAAGGAAGAGTAAATAGGAAAATGCTGGGTTGTGTGCACTGCGCTGTGTGCATTGTCTGCCTTACTCCTAACCTACCACCACCCCCTCCCACCCACTCTCTCTCGCTCTGTTGAGGTAGAAGGAAGACGGCCTGGCGGGCATCTCTGGGGCTGCGAGACCAGTGGAAGCCAGACAGCTGGACAGTGGTGAGAGACATCGACGCCCTCATCATCCACGAGAACTACTCCAACATCAACAACGACGTAGCCTTGCTCCGCGTGGACAAGGCCATCGAGTTCGGGGAGAACATCCGGCCGGTGTGTTTACCCTCCCAGGGCGAGGCTGTGGAGAACACCTGGAAAGGCTGTCACGTCACCGGCTGGGGACGGATGGAGAAAGGTGGGCGTCCCCCACAACAACAACAACAATCTAAGTGGACGCTCCAATATCCCATCTACCTGTTCAGGTGGATGCGTCAGGTTCCCACGGCTCTATTCAGAAAGAGAAGGGAGTTTCTCTCTCTCTCTCGCTTGGTGTCCTGGCCAACGATCTTACTCCAAATAAAATGTTGGGTTTGTCTTACTCCATGGCTGTTTGTGGGACACTGCTGTACGCGACTGACTGCTGTGTTTCGCCCCTAAAAATATACGGTCACTACACTTTACAATGCATTCCCGTGAAACCCTTTTGAGATGTGATAAAGCGCTACATCAAATGCAAGGATTGTTAATATTATTATTAATAATTATTATTGTTTTAAAAACCCGATGTGCGTTTAACTCCCGATAGGAACCAGCGCCCATATCCTGCAGGAGGCGGCTGTTAACATCATTCCCACGGCGACATGCCAGCAGCCCGATTGGTACGGGAGGCTGGTCAACGAGAACATGGTGTGCGCTGGGTTTGCAGGAGGAGGGATCGATGCTTGTCAGGTAGGACTCTTGATTTAGCTAGAATTATTTTCATTTTCTTCTGGTGAGCGCGGTTAGAGTTCAAGCTCTGCTCACCCACCCACTTTAGGGCGAATTAAATCGAAATGAATTCGTTAAGAGAACGAGGCAACCTTAAGACACAACCTTCCCTCCCCACCCCATCAAACAAAAAAGCTCTCTTGGCCCCAAATTGTCAAAGAATGATTCATAGGAACAGGATTAGACTATTCCGTCCCTCGTAATGAGGTGGAAATTGTGCAATACCCATCTCAGCCATCAGAGGACCAAAGGCATAGCTCCTACCAGGAGCTCATCCTCCCACAATACATTATTATGGTGAGATTGGATTCATACAAGGCTCCTTGTAATACACAGGCAGGTTTCAACAGGAGACCTTTTTTGCCAGTCATGTAGCTCAAGGAGTCACTGAAAAGCACAGTCACCGCACTTGACCTCAGCCAAAAGCAATTGGCTGCCGCGTTTAGGCCACAAAATACACCGTCGATCAATCCACGTTACAATATATCCTTTGAAGAGCTTTGAGACGTCTCAACGACTTGAGAAGGTGCTGTATCAAATGCAAGGATTATTATTATTATTGTACTGACTGGGTGTCCTTTCTCTGCCCCACTCCCCAGGGTGATAGCGGGGGACCCCTGTCGTGCCGACACAAACACACGGAGCGCTTTTACCTGGTGGGGTTGGTGAGCTGGGGGCAGGGCTGTGCCGAGCGCTTCCGGCCCGGAGTGTACACTCGCACCAGCAACTACATCAACTGGATCAACAAGAAGACAAGTCGTTTCTCTGCTTCAGACCCGGAGCAAGAACCAGAGCGAGAGTCGGAGAGGGAACCGGAACACCCCCACGTCATGCACCAGGACACCAGCGGCGGCACCTGGGCCAACGCACACCAGACCAACAAAGCCTCCGCAACTGTCTACCCCCAGGGGACACCCACCGCCACCCAACCTTCGTCCACCCGCACTGCACAGCCCCCCACCCTCCTCACCGCCACCATCTTCGCCTCGCTTCTCCTCTGTCACCTCTAGGTGCTTTTAAGCTAAGAAAAGAAATGTTTATAAGAAATACCTCCTTTCCCTTCCACCCCCACCCTCACGCCCCCACCTCCCACACACCCCACACACAGGAAAAAGTTACGTAAAGTCCCATTAGTAAAAAAAAAAATTCTATTCGAAAAATAAACAGTGGAGTTTAATCTTTCCCGTTTCAGGCCTCAACTTTCACACTGTCGGTATTTTATTTTAAGGGTCGGGGTATTTACACTGCCCGGTTTTTAAAGAGTTTCCAAACCAGACTGAGATTTTCACACGTTCCACCTACACATGGAAATCCCAGCGATAGATTGCTGGAATGCAATGCGCTCCCTCTCTTTCTCTCTCACCCACCCTATAGGGGGATGTATCCTACTTAACTAATTCTGGAAAGTATTAGGCACAGGTTGGCAAGAGGCAAGGCTTGGGGGGGTGGGGGTGGGGGGAGGCAACCCCAGAGTGTGCGATGGAGCTGGGTTAATTGCTGGAGTCTAACCGGGTAAAACCTACACAGCTTGAGCATTGAGAGCGCTATCCCATGGCAAGCTGCTGGAGCAGATTGAGATTTTCTTCAAGACGAAGCAGTCACTTGATCGGGGTGACAGGCAGCAGCTGCTGGTGGGAGGGCGAGAGGAGGGGATCGCTATAAATTGCCTCGACTCACACCTGGAGCTCCATCACCGGCTTTGCTGTCTCCCCGGCCCGGAGCCCGAGACAGTCACCACGCTGAACAACAAAATTACGCCTTCGTATAGCGCCTTTCACGTCGGGAGGATGTCCCAAGGCGCTGGACAATCAGTGCAAACCGGGCTCCGACCGAGACTTATGAGCCCGACCGGCCACAGAACGTTGGATTAGTCAAGCCCACCCTCTGTGGAGGTCTCCAGTCCCCGGGTCCTGAGCCAGGCGGGTCCGCAGTATTCCAGGGCGCTGTTGAAGACAGCACAGCCCACCCAGTCTGGCTCATCGGCAGGACTTGAGAGGGCAGACCAGTCACTGGGGGCAGGGAACTCAGCTCATGTTAACACTGCAAGCCAAAGCCCTGAGGGGTAGGGTGGTCCTGGGAATCTTGCTAGACAGCTGGTGACACTCCCCGCACAACCCTTGAAGCTCCCAATGTTCAGCTATCGAGTTACCCGCAGATCACTGTGGTCGGGTGTCAGCCTGGCTCAGTTAGTAGCACTCGCATCTCTGGGCCAGAATGCTGGGTGAAAATTGGCTGTCACATTTGCCTACAAAAAACAGATGTTGGTGGGGGGTGGGGGAGAGAAAAGGCCAGACAGGTGTCTGACATCACTGCGCGTAAGTGTACCCAGACCGCACTGAGAATTCCATGCATCCCAGTTACCCACGGAGACTCCAGAGATAGACTGTCGGAACGGAGCAGAAAACACACACAGGAGAAAAGCAGGGGAATGGGATTAGAGAGCTCCACCGAGGATACATTGCGGGGCGGGGTGGGTGGGGGGCTGTGGAAAGAAGAGCAGGGGACTGAGATTACAGCAGAGAGCTCCAGCGTTGGGGGTGGGGGGCTGGAGGGGGAGCGAGCACCAGGACGGACATGAACACTGCTGACACGTGGCGTCCTTGTTGATGTAACACAGCTCTTGATAGGTTGTTCACACACAGACTCTGGCCGCTGTCATATCATTACAGGACCACCTCCCCCTCCCCGCCAGCCCCCCCCCCTCCCCCTCTGCCTCTCCAGCTTTCTCTGTGTTCACAGCACAAACCCAGGGCGCACGGTGTTGAGAACACAAAGGCTGACTTGCTCACGCGTGTGGGTTTTGTTGGCTCTGGGCAGTTTCTACTAGAACGATTGGCCTTTTGTGCTGCTGGTTTGCGCGTCCTGCCCAGGGGCGTTCTAGCACTTTAAACACAGGGACACGACTTGCCGAGCGCCAGGCAATACACACACACACACACACACGCAACAGAGCAGGGAGATCAGCGACACAGGGCAGCTCAGCTCACACTGACACACACCCACAAACACACCCTGTGTCCATCAGTCCAGGCTGATGCTTCAGCACAGTTCGGGGTGGGGGTGGGGGGAAGGGGGTGGTTGTCGGAGGTACCATCATTCAGATGAGATGTTAAACCCAGCTCCCCTTCTGTTCCGCCCCCACCAACAACAACAACAGCCTTATTACGCAGATACACACAGGCGCTCACACAACAACAACAAGATTCCATTTATAGAGCGCCTTTCACGTCAGGAGGACGTCCCGAGGTGCAGGACAGTCAGGGATTTGGACCCGAGCAGGAGGTTGCGTGGGTAAAGAATCAGTCGTTCACCGTGAGTTTACGAGCAGAGAGCAGGAATTTGTGAGAGAGAGAGAGAGAGAGAGCGCAAATGACACAGGCAACGACACGGTGTGGGGGGGTGGGGGAAAAAAACACAAGCTGCTTTTATGATGAAAATGGTCTGTATTCAAAGTCCCTGTAACCAGTCTCACACACAGGTCCTTAACCCTTCACATCAAGTCTGCAAAGCTGCAGAGAACGAGAGCTTTATTACATAATGCAACCTCCCCTGGGGGTGGTGGGGGGGGGCGCGGTGGTGGGGAAAGAGTCTCAGAAAAACAGCCCACCCATTCTCTCCCTCACTCCCCACTCCTCCCACCCACCCCCTCACTACCTCGCTGCCGCCCCAGCAGCTTCCAACAAAATACAGGGGCCAAACAGGAGCTGTATCCTCTCCCCATCACCCCCCCGCCTCGTCAGTCAGGGGTGACGGAGAGGTTGGGAAGTGGTTCAGACGCTCTGCCTCCTCTCCATCCACTCCCGGAGTTGCTGGACCTGGTGTAAGACGCTATCACAGGCCGTCCCCCCTGTGGCTTGGTACTGCTCCACGCTGTGCGTGTAATCCCACACCTGCGACACGTCGCTCTCAAACAGCGAACTGCGGAGAGAAACACACACACGTGCACACACACACACACGCGCACACACAATCTCCATCAAAATTTTAAAGAATAAATCAGTCACTTCAATCCACAGCTGTTTGTACGCAGTTGGCTGCCGCGTTTCGCCCACAAATGTACAGTCAATTCACTCTACAATATAACCCGTGAAGCCCTGGCTCTCACAGTCAGTGTTATCCTTCCCCCCCAGTCAGTCAGTTCCCCCCCCCCTCCCAGCCTGTCAATCACCCCCCCACCACCCCCATCAACCCTCCCCAGACACCCCTTCCCCCTCCCCGCCCTGTGTGAGATCCAAGACACAGCAGATTGTTCGTACCTCACAGTTTTGAGCTCCTCCAGTGACAGCTCATTGACAGCCACTCCCTTGGTTTCGGCCAAATGAACCACTCTCCCCGAGGCACTGTGAGCATCTCTGAACGGCATCTGCAGGGAGACACACACACAAACACACACACACACACACACACACACAGAGTGAGCCGTTAGGACCCCTCCCCTCGCTGGAGGGACAGGTAGTTTGCTAATATTCCTGCATCACACGGGAGGAGGGTGATGGGTGGGGGGAAGTGGATTGCAACCCTGAGGCTCAGTCTCTCCTCCGAGATTGTAGGTTGTGGGTCGGGCACATTAAGATCAAAGTCTAGGCTATGCTTCAGATCAGTGTTGGGGTGGGGTGGGGGGGTGGGGGGGAGTCGGAGGTGCTGTCCTTCAGTTGAGGCATTAAACGTCACTCCCCGCCCGTGCCCTATTCAGACAGACGGATGTTAAAGATCTCCTCGGCGCTACTTGAAAAGGGAAGGGAGTTTCTCCCCCGTGGTGTCCTGGCTGATAATGCCCCCCCCCACCCCACCCACCCCCAACACACACACACAAACAGATAAAACCACTCGTTCACTTCACGACCATTCGTGGAGACGTCGCTGCCCGCAAATCGGCCGCCACATTTGCTTCCAAAAACACACAGTCACTACAATTCACAGAAAGATCCTGCGAAGCACTTTGGGAGGTCGCGATGCGATGTACCAAATGCGAGGCTGGTGAAATAAGTGGTACTAACACACACACACACACACACAAGCTTTGTTGGGTAAAGACACTCACCTTCTTGCGGACTAGGTAGTAGGCGAGGTCGGTGGCCAGCATGTCCGGGCTCAGGGCCGCCCTCATGTTTGCTTCGTTGATCTGAAGGTAGAGAAGGAGGTTCGGTTTCGTTGGGTCACGGTTTTGCCCGGAGTCCTCTCCACCCATTTCATCCCATCCCACATCTCCAATCCTATCTCCACACCCCATCAACAACAACAACAGCAACGACAACAACAACTCGCACTTATATAGCGTCGTTCACGTTGGGCGGATGTCCCAAGGCGCTGGACAATGAGGGGTTTGTACCTGGGGTTGGGATCAGGAGGGGTTGAGGGCAGCGTGAGGCTAAGGGTAAGAGGGTGAACGAAGGTACGGTCGAAAAGGAGAGTCTCGAGACGGGCCTCGAAGGAGGCGAGGGTGGGGGCGAGGCGGAGGGGCTCCGGGATGGAGTTCCAGAGGGTGGGGGCAGAAAGGCTGAATGCCTGAACCATGCTCACAGCGCTGGGGTCACCTGTAGTGTGGAGATCACCCCAGTAGCCACTTGCAGTACTGCGGTCATCGTGTCAAAACTGTCGAACATGGCTTCCTTGTCTTCCTGCGCAGAAACAGAGAAAAAAACCACGGGACGTTCAGGGCGTTGGCTTCCTGGCCGGCACAACGAGGCAATTTGACCGAAAACTGGGAACCGCTCCTCACCTGCAGGTCCTTGTTGTAGGTGCTGGGCAAACCCTTCAGGTTCATCAGGAATCCCGAGCACTGAGGAGGAAAGAGGTCTTCATCAGAGGGTGGGTGGAGGGGAGGGGGGATAAAATGTAGAGATTCGCAGAGAGCGCATACAGGCCATCTGCCTTCGCCTCAACTAGTCTGTGCTGCTACTTACACTCTACAAGTCCTTCCGCCCCTCCTGATTCTACCCTCTCCCTTGCCTCGTCGCCCACTTCTCTCCTTGCAGCATCAATAAACAGCACCTTTCATGTACTGTCTCAAAACTCTTCACGGGATTTCTTACATACAAACCGAAGAATTTCCAGACGAAAGAAGACCAGGGTCCATCCAATTCGCCTTCCCCCATTGTGGCAATCACGTGCACATGTCACTTCCCAAACTACATCCCGTGATCTTATTCCCTAAAAGATCCAATTAGCTTCGTTTTCTCCGCAGCCGCGAAGTGAGCGACCGATTTGCCCGCGTGTGCGTGCATGTGTGTGCGTGTGTGTGTGTGTGTATGCGCGAGGCGCAGATTCTCACCCGGCCAAAAACACGGCCAGCTTTGCTGCGAATCAGTTCCAAACTGTCCGGATTCTTTTTCTGAGGCATCAGACTGCTTCCCGTGCTGAAAGATCATCAACAACAACAGCTTACATTTATTTACACAGCGACCTTCCTGTAGGATAACGGCTTGGAGCACTGCAGGGAGACGGGATCGGATGCTGGGGGGGGGGGGGGGGGGGCTGTGTGTGTGGGAGGGGGCGACACATTGCCCCAGAGACCAGAATTAAACGAGGCGTTCATTATAATAATTCTTGCATTTCATATAGCGACTTATCACGTCTTTGAGATGTCTCAAAGCGCTTCACAGGGTACATAATGAACTGACTGTAACTTGTGGGTGAAACGCGGCAGAATTGTGCACAGCAGTGTCCCACAAACAGCCATGGATTGAGAGACCAAACTATTATTATTATCTTTATTTGGGGAGGGAGGGATTATTGCCCACAGAGAGCAATCCGCCAACCGACTAACAGCCGAGTTCCTACTTACTGCTCGGTAAACAGAGGCATGTGGAATAAGGAAACTTGCCTAAGGTTTCGCTCCGCCTGGGAATCGAACCTCGGTCCTCTCGCTTGCAAGGCGAGCACACTAACCATTACGCAACAGGACTCCACTGAATGTTTGGGGAGGAAGAGGTATTGGGCTTTCCGCGTAGATTTACCTGTAGGCGTCGGACAGAATGACAAATCCAAACTCTTTGCTGCTGTAAATGATCAGGTCTTCAGCCACTTTGCTCAGGTGGGTGAGGCAGAGAGAGCACCAGAACAGGAACTCAGCTGTGATGGCGCAGAGATACACAGGTCAGCGCTGTAGCTGGACAGGAGTATTACACACAGGCGCTCACATGCGCACACACACACACAACCATTTACATTTTACAGCAAAGGCGCTATACATATACACACGCATACGCGATATGCACACACACACGCACACACTTCTTATCCAATAATCCTTGCATTTACATTTGATGGAGCTCCTTATCACGTCGTCGAGACATCTCAAAGCGCTTCACGGGCTATACTGTAAAGTGGAGTGTATTTTTGCGGGCGAAACGTGGCAGCCAGTTTGCGCACAGCAGTGTCCTGCAAACAGTCATGGGGTGAGCGACCGATTTTATCCGGGGGGATTGTTGGCCGGGACACCGGGAAAGAGAAACTCCCTTCCCTTTACGAATAGCGCCGTTGGGATCTCTAACGTCCGCCCGAACAAGCAGATGGCGAGCTCGGTTTAACTTCTCATTTAAAGGACGGCACCTCCGACAACGCAACACGCCCCCAGCACTGCACTGGACCATCGGCTTAGACTATGTGATTCCAAGTACCGGTGCGGGGGAGCGGGAGCGGGAGCGGGGGGGGCTTGAACCCACAACCTTCCGACTCAGAGGAGAGCGTGCTACCATTGCGCAAGGCTGACACTCACACGCAGGCAGACACGAATGATGCACGCAGACCAGACAAAACCTCCCCGTGTAGTTAATCCTCCCTTTGTTACTGAATGGCTGAAATCCCCAGTTAATCTCGGGCTCTCACCGGGCAATGTCTGCACTAAACGCTGCCTTTGTCCTCCCGATCCCTGCTATTACCCGCCCTCTCATATACAGATTTCAGCGGCAGGAGCGGAGTCTGTAAAAGTGTGTAAGAGACCATCTCCCTCCCCCCTCCCCGCTCATGGATCATTCTCTCCCCACCCCACACGGCCCTTATCTCTAGATTTGTAAATCAGTATCAGGAAAGCCACTGAAATCTCCTCCCCCGTTGCAAAAGTTTGGTTACCCGGTATGTTTTAAAATACATCTAAGTTACAAGGAAAGTCGTAGCGAGCTTAGAAACCGGACAAGTTTGAACAGTGACGTGCAATTTCACAGCACCGCTCAGGAACAGGGTGTGTACGAGTGTGTGAGGGTGTGTCGATTCATTACATAGACCATTATAGCACCAAAACAATCGTCCAACCAGTTTGTACTGGAGTTTATACACCACACTCACCTGTGCCCCTCCTAATCTTTCCTCCTCCCCCGGACCCTTTTATTCCATTTCTTCAAAAATAATAATAATAATAATAATAATAAATTGGTCACTTCAATCCACGACGGTTTGTGCGCAATTGGCTGCCGGGTTTCGCTCACAGAATATACAGTCAATTCACTTTACAGTATATTCTGTGAAGCGCTTTGAGACGTCTCGATGATGTGGTAAGGCTGTGTATCAAATGCAAGGATTATTATTACTATTATTCTCCCTCGTGGGTGCGGTTGCAAAGAGAAACTGGGAGGTTTTTAATATATTAAGCGGGTTTTTAAAGAGACGGAGAGGAACTCACCCACAAAGTCTCGATCGCTTGTTGCGTCCATACTGTTCAGACTGATAGAGGCGAACTGCAGCTCTGAAAGACAACACCTTTTACTTTCTTCTCCCTTTTTCCCTTTCTCTCGTGCCCCCTCTCGCTCTCTCATTTTCTCTTTGTTTCACTCTCTTTCTTTGTGTCTCCATCTCTCTCTCCCTCTCAAACTCCTGACTGAACTCAATCTCTTAGACGATGAGCCACAAAGATCACCCGAGAAGGCCCTAGTTTTGATCCGTTAATTAACCAGGTTTAATCATCCGACAACTCACCGAGGACAAATAAACACACGGTAACTACCCGGGGATAAATAACAAGTTATATATACTGTGTGTGCGTATATATATATATCTGTATATGTAGAATAAAAACCCGAACTCACTAATGTCACATTAAACGTACCTCGACACAGGAATTCTCTGTCGATCTTAAAGGGGTTCCCAGCAATGGCACCGCTGGAAATGAAAAGCATTGATTGTGAAATGAACAGATAGACTGGGAGGAGAGAGGGGTGGTGGGGGGGGGTCATAAACCATCACGATCGAGCCCCTGCCACAACGCTGAGCTTGGGGGAGAGTGGGTCGGTCGGGGGAATGGTGGGGGGGGGCGAGGTGAGGGCAGGAAACATTCGCTTGAGATACATCACCTCCCCAAGGGCAGCACATTGACCCGACTCTTGATTTCATCCAGTCTCTCGGCATCTCGGCGCAGAGCAACCGCGTGGCTGTAACACAGAACACACGCATGTGGCTGTGACGTAGAACACATGGGAGTGGGGGAGAAAATCCCTTCTCTTTTCGAGGAGGCTGTGTGATCTTTAACGTCCGCCTGTTAATAATCCAAGAGCAAACCGAAGATTATTACCTTAGGATCCAGTGACTCCATCGAATGGGCTGAGCTCTCTGCATGTGAGTGTATCCAGGGAACAGCACATCGATCTCCCTGCAGGACAGAGGGCACTGGGTCAGGCTGGGCACAAGCCAAGAGGCGAAAAGTCACCAGAGAACGTTTATAGCGCAAGGAGGTCGTTCGTGTCTGTGCTGGCGCTCGCTCCCCCACTGGAGCTCTCTACCCTTAACCCCATTCCCAGTTCTCTCCCCATTGTGTCTATGCCGATGCTCGATCTGCACCCCCTCCGCCCCCCCCACCCCCATCCCCACACACACACACACCCACACACACGCACACAGATACACATTCTCTTCTCTAATCCCAAGCCCCCCCCCTCCACCCCCAATACAATATCGGGGTTAGAATTAGGAGAGTAGGAAGAGGTCAGCGTCCCCTGATCTCGCTAACGCTGTGACCAAAGCCCCCACCTCCCCCAGCCCCCCCCCCAGTGTAGAACTGAACGCACGAGGCAGCTCTCTCCACCATGGTCCTGACCAGCTGCACCAGGTGGCCGGTCAGAGTGTCCACCCCACTCCGCAGCCAAATCCGCATGTCAGTCGCAACCTGGAAAAGGGAGAGAGTGAACCGACAAAAACTTGCACTTGTACGGCGCCCTTGACCTTCACCCTCCCGCTCAACCCCACCGCCACCCCCACCCACCCCACCCCGGCCGTCCATCCCCCGAACCACTCCGCTGTGGATTTACCTGATCGTTCCTGCTTCGTCCTGTGTGGAGTTTCCCCCCGCCTCCCCAATCAGCTCCTGAAACAGGGGGAAAAAAACACCTCAACACACACTCACTCCCTCATTCACTCACACTGAGCCTTTAAGGTAATGTTCCCCACCCTTCCTCCAGTGAGGAATTGCCACATGACTGTGCCTCAGGTCAGCGAGGGCAATGCCAGGCCTGGGTTTGGAGCTGACGCCGGCCACGGTGGTGATCACAAACAACACGGGTTATCAGCCGTCCCTGACATTTCAACTGTGTTTGCTCTGTTAGCCAACCTGCTGCGCACAGAGAGACAGAGACACCCAGAGACAGGCACACAGAGACACCCAGAGAGACAGGCACCCAGAGACACCCAGAGAGACAGGCACACAGAGACACCCAGAGAGACAGGCACCCAGAGAGACAGGCACCCAGAGAGACAGGCACCCAGAGACACCCAGAGAGACAGGCACCCAGAGAGACAGGCACCCAGAGAGACAGGCACCCAGAGACACCCAGAGAGACAGGCACACAGAGACACCCAGAGAGACAGGCACACAGAGAGACAGGCACACAGAGACACCCAGAGAGACAGGCACCCAGAGAGACAGGCACCCAGAGAAACCCAGAGAGACAGGCACACAGAGACACCCAGAGAGACAGGCACCCAGAGAGACAGGCACCCAGAGAAACCCAGAGAGACAGGCACACAGAGACACCCAGAGAGACAGGCACCCAGAAAGACAGGCACCCAGAGAGACAGGCACCCAGAGAGACAGGCACCCAGAGAGACAGGCATCCAGAGAGACAGGCACCCAGAGAGACAGGCACCCAGAGACACCCAGAGAAACAGAGACACAGAGAGACTGAGACAGACACAGGTAACCACCAAAGGCCACCCTCACTGCCCCAGCGATGCCTCTCCGTTAAACCTGCGGAAAGGATCCCGGAATGACAGGCGGGAGTTACTGGGGTCACACCCGCTCGCCCTTCCCTCACCAGCCCCGAACCGACCCAGCCATCGCCCGCGGTACCTTGAGTCGCCGCTCGTTGGCTGTGTGGATGTCCTCGTCACCGGCTTTGATCTGGAACGTTCCGCGGGCCCACTCCTCATAAATCTACCGGGTGGGAAGCAAATCAGATCAAAAGGACCGTCCGGCGGCGTCCACTCTGGAATGCCCGGAGCTCGACCGCGAATGCCTTCGCTCTGGGACGCAGCGAGCGAGCGAGCGAGAGAGAGAGAGAGAGCACGCTCCGGAAACCTGCGCGAACTTCCAAGCACGGGCCATGGAAACGGGCGGCGGGCCGCGCTCTGGCACATCCCGGCGCGCGCGGGTTACGCGCAAGACAAGCTCCTCACCTGGTCCAAACCTTTCAGAATCTGGACCATCTCGGGTGCGGTGACCAGCCCGGCCTTCTCCAGGGTCTTGACGTAGGCCTGGCTGCCCTGGATGTCGGCCGCCCACATGCGCTTGTCGTAGTCGATGGAGGCGTTAAACTTCTCCATGATCGGGTCGATGGCGCCCACGAAGCGACCGCCCCATAGCTTAGCGCCCTGAGGTGGGGTGAGGGTGGGGTGGGAGCGGGAGGGGTGGGGGGAGAGCAGAGTTCCGATTTCACCAACACTTCGTCTTACCCTCCTGGACTCCCCCCACCCTCCTCCACCCCATCGCAACCTCAACCCCCACCCCCGCCCCCCCATTCATAACCCAATACCCCACTCCCCCAATCTCGATCCAACCCACTACACCCATCCCCCCACCCCATCCCAGGCTTCACACTGTCACAAGATTCACTGTGAAGTGTAGTGACTGCAGCATTTGTCGGCGAACGCAGCCACCAATTTGCTCACGATGGAAGGGTGGGGGGAGGCGGTGGGGAGGGTGGGGGGCAGGAGAGGGATTTGTCTCTCTACCAACGGCCGAGAGGGGTTAAAGGGTAAACATGGAATGGTACCCCCGGTAATCACAGGCTGGGAGGGAGGAGGAATTTTTGGTGGAGGAAGTGAGTGGAGAAATAAAGAGAGAGGAAATAAACATTTAATCTCTCTGTGTACAGTATTTCTCGGATGTCTTACCTCAGAGTTTGCCATTATTGTCACTGGTGGTGTAAGGGGGGGTCTGAAGTGCAGAGGAGACTGACTGGTTGTGTGGAAACTGGGTCTGGGGGGGGGGGGGGAAGAGATAAACTGGTTAGTGTGAGACAGACACAGAGACAGACACACACTGAGAAAGAGAGACAAAGACAGACACACACACAGAGAAAGACAGACACACACAGAGAGACAGATACACACACAGACACACACACAGACAGACACACAAAGAGACAGACACACACACACAGACAGACACACAGAGACAGACAGACACACAGAGAGACACACACACACACAGACAGACACACACAGAGAGACAGACAGACACACAGAGAGACAGACACACACACAAACACACATACAGACACACACACACAGACAGATACACACATAGAAAGAGAGATAGACACATATACAGAAAAAAAGAGAGACAGACAGGGACAGGGACAGGGAGAGAGACAGAGACACAGAGAAGGATAAAGCAGACACACAGCCCAGGAATGTCCCTCAGGACATCAGTCAGTGATCAGCCAAAGTTTCACCACTTTGGGTAACAACACGATGTCAACTTAGATCACTCCCTCTCTGTGTCTCTGTCTCTTTTTCCACCGACTCCTCAGTGTGTGTTTCTGTGTCTGTCTGTGTGTCTCTCTCTCTCTGTCTGTCTCTGTCCTTCTGTCTGTGTCTCTCTGTCTGTCTGTGTGTCTCTCTCTCTCTGTCTGTCTCTGTCCTTCTGTCTGTGTGTCTCTGTCTGTCTGTGTGTCTCTCTCTCTGTTTGTCTCTGTCCTTCTGTCTGTGTGTCTCTGTCTGTCTGTCTGTGTGTCTGTCTGTCTGTCTGTGTGTCTCTCTCTGTCTGTGTCTCTCTCTCTGTGACTCTCTGTCTGTCTCTGTCCTTCTGTCTGTGTGTCTCTGTCTGTCTGTGTGTCTCTGTCTGTCCGTCTGTGTCTCTCTCTCCGTCTGTCTGTCTGTCTGTCTGTCCGTCTGTGTCTCTCTCTCTCTCCGTCTGTCTGTCTGTCTGTCTGTCTGTGTCTCTCTCTCTGTCTGTGTGTCTCTGTCTGTGTCTCTGTCTCTGTCTCTCTCTCTGTCTGTGTGTCTCTGTCCTTCTGTCTGTGTCTGTGCGTCTTTTCCTCTCACTGGTTCCGTCTCCTTTTCCTGGTCTGTCTCTCTTTCCTTCTTTCTCTCCGTCTGCCCAGTCCCCCCCCCTCTGCCCAGTCCCCCCCTCTCTGCCCAGTCCCCCCCTCTCTGCCCAGTCCCCCCCTCTCTGCCCAGTCCCCCCTCTCTGCCCAGTCCCCCCCCTCTGCCCAGTCCCCCCCTCTCTGCCCAGTCCCCCCCTCTCTGCCCAGTCCCCCCTCTCTGCCCAGTCCCCCCCTCTCTGCCCAGTCCCCCCTCTCTGCCAGTCCCCCCCTCTCTGCCCAGTCCCCCCTCTCTGCCCAGTCCCCCCCTCTCTGCCCAGTCCCCCCTCTCTGCCCAGTCCCCCCTCTCTGCCCAGTCCCCCCCTCTCTGCCAGTCCCCCCCTCTCTGCCCAGTCCCCCCCTCTCTGCCCAGTCCCCCCTCTCTGCCCAGTCCCCCCTCTCTGCCCAGTCCCCCCTCTCTGCCCAGTCCCCCCCTCTCTGCCCAGTCCCCCCTCTCTGCCCAGTCCCCCTCTCTGCCCAGTCCCCCCCTCTCTGCCCAGTCCCCCCTCCTGCCCAGTCCCCCCTCTCTGCCAGTCCCCCCTCTCTGCCCAGTCCCCCCCCCCTCTGCCCAGTCCCCCCCCCTCTGCCCAGTCCCCCCCTCTCTGCCCAGTCCCCCCCTCTCTGCCCAGTCCCCCCCTCTCTGCCCAGTCCCCCCCTCTCTGCCCAGTCCCCCCCTCTCTGCCCAGTCCCCCCCTCTCTGCCCCTGTATCTCTGTACCTGTGTGTGTGTGAGTACCTGTGGGTGTGTACCTGTGTGTGTGTCTGTACCTGTGTGTGTGTGTCTGTACCTGTGTGTGTGTGTACCTGTGTGTCTGTACCTGTGTGTGTCTGTACCTGTGTGTGTGTGTGTGTGTCTGTACCTGTGTGTGTGTGTACCTGTGTGTGTGTGTGTGTCTGTACCTGTGTGTGTCTGTACCTGTGTGTGTGTGTGTGTGTCTGTACCTGTGTGTGTGTCTGTACCCTGTGTGTGTGTGTGTCTGTACCCTGTGTGTGTGTGTGTGTGTCTGTACCCTGTGTGTGTGTCTGTACCTGATTCGCTTTCAGTCGCTCTGTGTAGAAACTCCCAGTGTTATAAAGCGGAAAACGCTAAACAGCGAACCAGAGATCACTGGGAACTGCAGTTCTGGTTATATTCTCCCAAACCCCTCCCAGACCTGTGTCTGTCTGTCTGTCTCTGTGTATAACTCTGTGTGTGTGTCTCTCTCTCTCTCTCTCTGTATAACTCTGTGTGTGTCTCTCTCTCTGTGTATAACTCTGTGTCTCTCTCTGTGTATAACTCTGTGTGTGTGTCTCGCTCTCTGTGTATAACTGTGTGTGTGTGTCTCTCTCTCTCTCTCTGTATAACTCTGTGTGTGTGTCTCTCTCTCTCTGTGTATAACTGTGTGTGTCTCTCTCTCTCTGTGTATAACTCTGTGTCTCTCTCTGTGTATAACTCTGTGTGTGTGTCTCTCTCTCTCTGTATAACTCTGTGTGTGTGTCTCTCTCTGTGTATAACTCTGTGTGTGTGTGTCTCTCTCTGTGTATAACTCTGTGTGTGTGTGTGTGTGTGTCTCTCTCTCTCACTATCTAAATATGTAGAGGAAGAAAACACTTTTGAATTCCGATTGTAATTAATTTATTCTCTAATCCCACCTGCCCGATTTTGAAAATAATTAGTGCGCAAATGCCCAACGTGAAATCATAAAAGCTTTAAAATACCCCAAGCCTGGATTTCTCTTATATCCTGCGTATGGTAATCGTGTTGTTGTTGTTGTATGATGATAATAATAATAATATTAATAATAGTAACAACATCGGTAGTAATAATAATGAAAACAGCAACACTAACGGTAGTAATAATAGCAACAATAATAAAAATAGTATTAATATTATTAATAATAATAATAATAGTAACCCAGTGGGGGGTAGGGACTCTTCTCACTCAGCTCCTGCTAACCCTGCAAGACAAATTCTTAACGGCTAGGGTGGTCCTAGCTGGACAAGCAGCGGGAAAGCGTGTCAGGCGGTAATATCAATGGCCAAGCCACGCAGCTTTAGCTGGTTAGTTGCTCCAGCAGTTACCCCCATCTCCAATCCGCACTCTCTGGGTGTTATTTCCCCCGCGTCACCCCCTGCTCCTCACCCCCCCACCCCCCCCCCACCCCAACCCACCACCGAGCCTCGGCAATCGCCTAATGCTCTCTGGTCAAGAGAGAGAGACTAAAAGAGTGCTCACTCCATTACCAAACTAGAGGAAAGCTCAGGGTAGTTTGGTTTGGAGATGGTTAAGGTTGGCACTGGGTGATCAAAGGGAACGCGAGCCCCGCTGAGTGTTACGGTTAGACCGACCGCTAGTTAATTTCCAAATCCTCAGGCTCCTGTCTGGCGCTTGCTTACCTAAAGTTGTCCGGTGTGTCAGTGATCTGCTCAGAGCTTTAGACCCCGTGCAATATCCCCCACCCTCCTCCCCGTCATCCCCAACCCCCACCCCAACACGTGACCTAAGTTGGTTCACAGTGTTTCCCAACATTGGGGGTCACTGCACCGTGATCTATGGCCCTGAGGTTACTTGCAAGAATGTGTTTGTGTCTCTCTGATAGGCAGCTCAGTGCTCTGATAGCGGGTAAGTTATGCTCTGTACGTCAAAGCAACACCCCCCCCCTCCAGCACCCTCACCCCCAGGCCAGGCCATGACTCCCCTAGAGAGAGAGAGAGAGAGAGAGAGACTATAGCCCATGAGTTGAGTTTGATTGTCGGCCAGGACATCGGGAGAGAGAAATTCCCTTCTATTTGCTAATAGCGCCGCGGGATCTTTAACGTTTTAACGTCCGCCTGAACAGGGCACAGACGGGGAGAGACTCGACAAAAACAAAGCATAATGTATAAAAATACACAGCCTCGCTCTGCCGGTCACACTCCAAGGCCCCAGACACACCCACCGGGTTGCGACAGAGGAAAACAAATTTGGTGTGAAATCTGCTGCATCTGGTAAAACACACCACATTCTGTGGGATACGATCAGATAACACAGGGCTGAGGCTGCAAAAGAGACCGAGCTTAACAAGTGCCTAGCGATTATGGTTAGAGTAGTGAAGGGTATTGTTTGTGGCACCCCATAGAGTAGTGGTTAGAGCGCTCGACTCGGAAGCGAGAGGACCTGCTTTTGATTAATGTTTCCATGTTTCCTTTCCCCACACGCCTCTGTTTACCAAGCAGTAAGCAGAACCCTGGTTCTGGTTGTTAATCGATTGGCTAAATAATGCCTCAAAAAAAAGAATTTGGTGACTCAGTCCACGACTGTTTGTGGGACGTCGCTGTGCGCAATCGGCTGCCGCGTTTCTCCCACAAAATCAACAGTTAATCCACTTTACAGCCTATTCTGTGAAGCGCTTGGAACAAGGCGATAAGGCGCTATCTCAAATGCAAGGATTATTATTATTATTATTGTTATCATCATCAAATTTTCACCCATCCAACCACTTGTGATAACACATCACCACCTCGTGGACATCAAAGGTAAATTCATTTCAAGTTCTCCTCTGTTTTCGAGGAGAAAGTGCAGGTTATTGATACCATCCAATAACACAACCAAAAGTCTTTCAGTTAGTTTTCCTGCCTCCTGCTCCATACTTCCTGATCCCCTTTCATTGGTTTCCAGTTAATTGGTCATTTCTCATTAAAGATTATCCAAACATCTTCCCCTTTTTTTATTTCCTTCTGGTTTTTCTTTCTCCCTGTCTCAGTCTTGTTCAATTACTTTTCGGATTCGTTTTCAATCCTTTTCCTGACCTGGCGGTTCTCAATGTTTCTGCCACCCCCGGATCTTCCTTCGGCTCTTCTTGGGTGTATTTCCCACGACGTTCTTCTGTATATTTTCCTTTTATCACTTTTAATCGTGGGTATTTAATCCTTCTTCCAAATTTCTCCTTTTGTCTAACCTGCTGCTTTCGGATGTTTCCTCCTGAACCAGATTCCTCTCTCTCCTCTTGTAAAAGTTTTCTCCTTTCTCTGGTTCAATTCGGGGTTTCCCTCCTTATTTTTCTTGTGTTTCACCTGCCGTCTCGATTATTTTTCTTCCGAGTTTAACAGATCTCTTAACCGTCTTGACAGCGGTATTTGTGCTGACTTGTCCCTCATTGTCTTTCGGCATCTTTTTTGTAGGCCAGAATTGCCAGATGCTTATCTGTTTCCTTCCCCATTTTATTTATAGTCCTGTATTTCTCCACCGAACCAGTGCTTTGAAGGGGGAAACACCAGTGAAATAGTTTTGTGGTCTACCGTCTCCAAGCTCCGAATTCTTTTGAGCAGGCCCACTTCAACGATATCTTGCAGTCCGAGCAGAGTCTCGGCTTTTAATTCTACAATGTGAAACTTTTATCTTGTGTGATCTGTCTTTGTACATCATTTCTACAGTTATTCTCTGCCCGCTGTCTCAATTTAGTTTGATGGGTGGAGGAGCCAGCAATATGATATAATAATAATAATCCTTGCATTTGATATAGCGCTTTTCACGTCGGGAGGACGTCCCAAAGCGCTTCACAGAATATACTCTAAAGTGAATTGACTGTATATTTGTGGGCGAACGCGGCAGCCAATTGCGCACAGCAATGTCCCACAAACAGTCGTAGATTGAAAATGACCAATTTACTATTGTTTTTTTTTGGAGGGTTATTGTGCCACAAGAGGGCACAGCAGTGAACAGCAGTGGCAAAAAGTTTGACATTTATTTTCCAAGTCTTTTTAAAGTGGTTTCTGTGGGGAATTAAATGCACCTTCGGCCCTTGGCAAAGGCATCGGAATCAAAATAAACTTAGAAAAGAAAAATTCGTAACCTTTTTGACCGCTAACGATGGCTTTTTCTAACTCTCGACTCCACTGCACAATGGGTTTTTTTTTTAAAAAAGGATTTTGTTCTGAAAAAATCCTGAATTCCATTAACGCGTTGCAACTATTTATTAATAACTTGAAATTCTGCTATCGGGTAAACTCCAGCAGTGGCCAGGTTTATATCTGACCTCCATTTAGAATATTTTAAAAGGAATGATTTTTGCCGAATTTGCGTGAAAGGCGAATATATATATCCTGTTAGCAGGAGGAGAGGTTTTAGCTGGTTAGGCTCTGAAGTCCCCAAGTCTTGGCTCTTGTCAATCTGCGCCTAATACTTCCTGGAATTAAGTAAACAGGATACATCCTTCCAGAGAGAGAGAGAGCGAGCATTTCCACATTTGATGCAGGGTGGTAAGAGCCAAGGCTTGGGGGCACCCATTGAGAGCACTGCCTGGCAAGCTTTCCGGCCGCTTGTCCGGCTAGGATCACCCTACCCTGCCCGTTAGGGCTTTGGCTTGCAGGGTTGACAGGAGCTGAGTGGTGTGAGTCACTGCCCCCAGTGACTGGTCTGCCCTTCCAGGTCCTGCCGATGAGCCAGGATGGGTTGAGCTGGGCTTATTGAGCGCTGAGGGAGTGATCAAATGTGTGCTAAGTCCTTTGGTCTTAGTCTGTCTGCACTGATTCCCCGGAGATAAAAGTCACTGCATTGTTTAATTATTCTCTAAAAATTCTTTCCTCTTGTCAACAGGCAGAAATACGGTGTCTCGCGGCTTAGACCCACAGGTTTGAAACCCTGTATTGTCGGAAGTGCCATCTCCGTCCCAGCAATACATCTCTACGGTTTTGGCAAAGGAAATTTATAAACTGGAGAGTCAGTTTAATCGAGGCTACACATTCACAACCAGCCAAAACCACTTAACACAACAAGCCGCCGGAGTCATTTTCCGACCGATTGTTCAGGGCACAATAGGATGATTGGGCTTTCAAGTGGGGGCGCCTGTATTCTGTTGCAACACACTCTTGTCACAAGCAAGGAGCTCCTTCCCAGCTTCTAAATAAAAGCCTACGAGACACGCAATCGGAAAGGAAACATATATCCGAGTGTGGGTCAGGGTGTGTGTGTATGTGTGTATGTATGTGGGTGTAGGAGTGTGTGTGCATATATGTGTGGTGTGAGTCGGTGTGTGTGTGTGTGTGTGTGTGTGGTTGTGCGTGTGTCTGAGTGGATAAGGGTGTGTATGTGTATGATTGTATGTATGTGTGGGGGGAATTTGTGTGCATGGCTGCGTGTGTGGGGAGTGTGTGTGTATATGTGTGGGGGGGGGATGATGTATGAATATGTTTAAAGCGCTCTGAGACGTCGTCCGGCGTGGAGTGCGCTATATAAATCCAAGTTGTTGTTGTTGTGTGTGGATGACGTTTAGGGGACGGGGTGGAATGTGTATGGGGGTGGGGGGGGGCTGAATGGCTTCTCTCTGCGCTGTGATGGACGGATTCCATGACCGCAGAGATCACAGCTGGCTGGTGTGAGGTTTGTTGATGTTGGTTGAGATGCCGGAGGTGAGCCAGCAACTATTTTTCCCGGTTTCCTGGGTTTTCCAGGCAGCGCTCGCCATTTAACAGCTTAACTTTGGCCTCTTGGCAGGGAGACTGGGCAGCCTATTTAAACATGTGGAGTGGGAGTGACGCTGAATGTCTCGCTGACTTGGTCATTGTGAGAAGAACTGCAGCCGATCACATATTCTGACATTCGTGGTTCTGTGTCGTTCGTCCTGCTTTGACCACACGTGTTGTTCAACCTGTTACACACGGGTGTTGTTCAGACCCTGGTACACCCGTCATCAAAACCCGTTGTTTAATGAATCTGTTGCGTGTGAGCAATTGGCTGCCGCATTTCGCCCACAAAATGCACAGTCAATTCACTTTACTGTGATGGAATGATCGCGATTCTGGAAGGAGCTTTGTCTCCCGGACCCCTCTCTCGTGATCTCACTAAAATATTTCCTAATATTTGTATTGAATCTGCACCAAACACATACACGCACATACACACTCACATTCACATACACACTCCCTCACACGCACATATATACAAACACTGACAGACATTCATATACACTCACATACACGCTCACACAAACACACTCACTCAGGCACACAATCGATCACACAAACGCATTCTCACATGCTCACACTCACTCGCGTACAAACTCCCCCAATCCCTGATGACACAACACTAAAACCACACAATTTACATTTACAGTTCAGTGTTGCAATGGGGAACATCTGGGATGTTTAGATTCCTATGGTGTGATATCAGAGGCTTTGACGTTCATAGACACAGCTCCTTCCTCCCCTTCCTCAGCATCTGTGACAATATAACACTTCCTCCCCCCACTTCCGACCTCCCCTCGGCAGGGGTGGGGGGGGGTTAGGGGGAAGAAAAAGGGGGAGTGGAATCCACAACCTTTAATTGGGAGAGTTTTGTTGACTGAGCCACAGACTCACACCCTAAACCTATCGCCAAAACTGCCCAATACTTTCACAAAACCTTCCAATTAAACCAGAGTCGCTTTCACTCCAATGCGACTG